TTAGAGAAAAAATGACTCGCATCCCGCTGAGGTAGATTATCTGTCAATGGAGCTCCTACTGTTGTTCTAATTTGTCTGTTTGTTTGACGAGCCAGATTCTTCTGTATTTACTTCCTACATGTGGTGCAGAGAGGAAGTGCTAAGGCTGTTAGCAAGCTGCGCTGGAGTCAAACAAGCCTTGAATGACGTACATTTTCTATGCACCTGCAGTCTACTTCCATCATCCTTGATAGAATGATTGTATACCGGTATTCTATTTTTATAAATTACAGGAAGCATGTCAGTGACACTCACAATTCTATTGTCTTTAATTAGTGCATTATAAAAATGTGTGTGTGTGTGTGTGTGTCTTTCTCTGGGTGTGTGTGTTTGTGTGTGGCTGGCATCAGTTTCATCAACACTAATCAACTTAGTTAAAGTAAAGATTCATCCATTTTGAATGTTACATCATATTTGTGCTATTCGCCGTGCATCTCTGAGCTATTCACTGTGCAAGCAGGCAGAAATGCGTCATACCGGCTGTATTTCTGCCTGCTTGAACGGTGAATTGCTCACATACACATGAAAACATGAAATGACCCCGGGAATCGATAGAACACAAGTACGATAACATTCCTTTAACCACCACATTTGCACTGTATAGGCCTACTGCTTCTCCAGTTTCATTACACAAATCTATAATATGATGGATTGTTTAAAATGAATATAGACTTGTTAGATCCTATATTCCATACAGTAATTAAACACTCCAGTCTCCAACTGCCTTGTTAGTATTTATCTACAACGCCTGCCTCTTGGACCTCTTCTCATGTGAGACGGACAGCTATTGAGCCCCCTGGCTCGGCCCTTGTTTAGCTCTGTAGTCCATGTCCATACAATACACCTCCTCCACTAAGCAGCGCGCTGATAAACAAACACAGATCAATTAAATGAATCCATGACGTCCCCCCTAAGATCTATGGCTCTGGAAGAGCATTTGTCTTATAAACTGAAACTGTCATATAGAAGCCATGTAACGGTGATGGGCTGAGCTGTTTGCTGTGGTGTATAGTGTCCCAGAGACATGCATCCAAGGCCGTTGCTTAAATAATAGGCTACATGCCATTTTTAAAGCTATAATCCTTAGTTGCTACATCCATTTTTGGAGTTATAAATTAATGAAATATACCCATTGATTCTTGAAGAATATAACTTATACATGCGTCATGAGCTAAGTTCAACTGTCGTACCTCATCACAACCCAAAATATAAGCTTGTTTTACTCCAGTGTTTGTAAACAATTTAAACGTAAACAACACTGTATAGCAAACTAAAATGTCCATACCATGGATGGTCAGTCCTTGCATCCATGGCTCTCTCTATGAATTTGAGAGTGGTTACATTTCTCCAGGCCCATCCTTCAGCTTTTTACCAAAACAGAGTCGAGGTGGTGCTTTGTTATTGCTTCAATTAAGGATTCTAGCTTTAAGGCCGTAAATTCTCCCTGTCTCTCATTCTTTTATAGCAGGTTTCCAGCTGCATGCTTTCCAATTCTGGTCCTGGTAGTGGGTTGGGTACTCACTACCAGGACCAGAATTGAAAAGCATGCAGGGGTGAAGATTTTTATTTTCACCCAGCACTAACATACCTGATTCAACTAATCAACAAGCCCCTTGATTAGCTGAATCAGCTGTGTTGGCTGTACAGGATTAACAAGTGTGTATGCTACATAGTGTGTGTATGCTACAGTTTGCATGTACTGTGTATTTAAATACTGTATTCTCGGCATAACTCGTTCTAATTTCTACTACTGTACATTGCATTTTAGTTACACTGTTTATACTGCATGTATAGATTGCATTTGGATTACTGTTACAGTGCTATTTGGGTTAAGTGGATTCGTTGTGATGTATCTAGATTTTATTTTGGGGGGGGATTATTTTTGTAATTGTTTGACATTTTACTGCGTTGTTAGGCGCTAGTAACACAAGCATTTCATTGCACCTGCTCTAACATCTGCTAAACTGTGTACGTGTCCAATAAACGTTGATTCGATTTTTAATGCCAATGCCTCTTCATGTGCATATAAATCCTTCAACTTGGAAATGTTCATGTGACATATATTGCAAACCTCAAAGTGCTGGTTTATAAATACACTTTGATTGATATATTCCGGTAGCATGGAAATAGGTTATTGGATCTGTGCTGTGCGGAGGATAAGGTGTGAGAGTGTTTGTGTGTGTGTGTGTGTGTGTGTTTGTGTGTGTGAGCCATCAGTGTAGGTTAATATATGCACACGGACAGAAGGTGTGTAAGGGCAGGGGAAGAAAAGACACAATTCCCAGAATACCCAGAATACCAGGATAAGAGCCTGAATGTTCTCCTCTGATAGCCGTAATAGAAGATAATAGTCGAAAATGATTCAATTTTCAGAATTGTTTCTTTTATCTAGGAAGAAAATCAATCAAGGTATGGTTGATTAGGTTTCGCGTCAGAAGGTATAGCAAAATAATAGTCTTCTATATACGACATCATGAGCAGAGATTCTTTATTTTTCCTTCTTATTCTTGATTTTGTTGAAGGCAGAAAATGGACAATGGAAAATGACATTGACCCGTGGCATAGTGTCCGCTTGCTGTTCCTGGGATCCAAGCAGCCCTGAGGGATGAGATGTCTCTCGCAGCCCAAGCACTTTGACACCTGGTAACCAGAGCCATTACTCCACTAAAATACATCAGCTTCCAGCCCACAAGACCTCCCTTACGCATTCCACAGAGAGGGACCACGGCTCTCTTGTTGCCCTCTTAAAAAGCCTAAGGTTGCGTCCCAAATCACACCCTATTCTCTTTATATTTTGACCAGAGCCCTATGGGGGGAATAGGGTGTCATTTGGGACGTACACTTAGAGGTGACATCATCCTGCAGTATTCACTAACCTATCTAATTGAACTTTTTCTTCTTCTTAATTTTTTATTATGCATATTTAATCATCTTCTCTCCTATTGGGTGACTTAGCCTCCTAAGGGAATCCATAGTATCTTAGTGATCTATTGATGGCCGGTGAGCAGAAACCAAACACAGAGCATGAAATAGAACCAGAGTAGAATAACAACGATATGGCATTACAGAGAAATCCTGTGTCCTCCTAATATTGACATATATATATATCTTAATTCCATTATTTTAGGTCTGTGAGTATTGTTGTGAATTGTTAGATATTACTGCACTGCTGGAGCTAGGAACACAAGCATTTCCGCTACACCAACAATAACATCTACTAAATATGTGTATGTGACCAAACAAATTTGATTTGATTCAGAGGAGCAGGGGGAAAACAACATAAAAACGTCTATGGGAGTGGACCTGCTGAATGCGGTTACTCATGGGTTTTTATGATGACCACAAATAGCTGTCGTCATGGTGCCCTAGATTTGTTGGTCACTTGATGTCTTTCTTTATGGTTTGTATAGCCTTTATCTGTTGGGGCATCTGTATGTTTATCCAAATAATGCAGACTTTACCATCTAAACTAATGCTTCATAGCCAAACCATACAAGAAAGTAAATATCTGCGTTCAATTACTTTCCTGAACTGATGAACTGCATGATAAACAACGTCCATTTCCACCCTAAACTAAACGTTCTCTATGAACATCATTCCCAGTTGGACATGCTCTCCTCTGGCATGTGTGTGATTTCTACCTCCCCTCTCTGGACAACATCTGAATAACACAGCATGGAGCAGACAGGAGCAGGATCAGAGATGCATGTTGCTCATTCAAACAAGGACGTGTGAGATAAGTGGAAGTGACACTCCATGGTGTTTTATGGAATAAAAACATTGAAATTAGTATGGATGTTATCACACACATTATTATTCAGATCTATGACAGATCAACTTGCTTGTGTTATAAATTAGGCAGAGGAAATCTGGCTATGATAAGGCTGATTTGTGTGAATTAGAAATATGAAAAGCAGTGATGTGTGAATGTAGCTATTCTCAGAGTAAATATTCTCACTTCGGTCCCTGTGGGGAGGCGGACAGAGCCGGGAGCAACCTCCCTGGTGTAGTGTTGGCAGAAATGTGGTTTTGACTAGATGGTATACAGCTTATTTCAGAAATGACTTTTCATAGCAGGTTAAGAGAACTTATGAGACGTAAGCTAGGGATTTGAAAGCAATAACATACGGCTCAGAACTTTACTCCCGGTCCATACTGCTGCTTGTCTACAAAGTCTCTCCCCCCCCCCCCCCCAAGGTTAGGGTTAAGGTTTAGGGTAGGGACATCCCAAGGATTCTGGATAGCACTAACCCTTCCCAATCCTACAGAAAATCAATTCCAGTGGGACAAACCACAGGTTAGAAGGGATAGCACTCACTCCCTGGTTTCTCTTCTCTTTCAACTGCCCTCTTTTTCTTCCATTAAACTGTTGACTGTGGTTGGTGCTGCCATCTCCTCTGCTTGCCGTGTCGCCCCCCATTTACCATTATTTCACCATGATGGTTTGTTTGTTCGCATCAGTTTAGGGATAGATTGGCAACCAATCTACAGGCTGGTTGAGGTACTGCCTGTATCTGTACGGGTCTGCTGGTTCACCACACACACATGTAAAAGAGTCATGATTTATTCAAGGTTTCAACTGTCTTTATTTAGTTATTCAGACAGATCAACCCAATGCATTGTGGTCCCATCACAGCATGTACATCAGCAGGTACAGCAGGTCTCAATCTCTCAGACAGCAAAGGATACAATGTAGAGACAGTGCAACCCAATCCATAGTCTGGGACAGGCATGTCTTAGCTCCATGTCTTGCATTACAGAGAAGGCTACAGTACTGTATGTGTGCAGAATAGCATCAGAGGGATACATTGAAGAAGGCAGAAGAGGGAAGCACTCATGTAATTGGGACAGTAAAGCGATTTTACATAACAACATATTTGTTTCCCTACTTTGAAGTAGTCTAAGCTTCTGTGATTGTTATGTTGAGACATTAAGCTGAGTAAATCACAGCGGGACAATTAATAGTAGTCATAATTGACGTTGGCGCCATGTCTGTAGGAACCGGGGTCCTGGGGCCCGATGGGGGCATTCTCGTCATAATGGTGCTGGTGACCTTGGTCTGATGACCGGGACAGGTCCATCCAGTAGGACAGGTCAGTCTCAAGCCTCTGTGGGATGGATGGACAACAAGAGATAAATCCATAATGATTTCAAGCTAGAAGACTCGTGAACTTGTTTGAATGACAGTGAATAGACAAGGTGTTAGAAGAGACAGTGTGTGTATTTGTGTGACAGCTGCAGTAGGAGAGACCCATCTCAAGGACAACTGGAGATGCAATGAAATAATATCGTAATAGCAGATGCTTTGATCCAAAGTGACTTGCAGTACATTCAGTCCATTTAAAAAATATATATAATGTATGAACCCAGCGGGAAATCAACCTAAAGTAGTGTAAACATGTTTGCATAGATGAGGTCTTGGAAGGGATGGTGCGTCTGAGTTATAGCATGACTGGCATTAGAGGGCAACCTCACGTTTCTCTTGACTAATTAACCGACACGTTTTCCATGAGGCATTTCTGGAGGCAGGGGGCTTTATGTGGCGAGACAGTTTGGACAGGTCTGCCGCTGTTGGACGATGGCCGCAGATGTGAGAGAAATATTACGGTCCCTCATCGACTGATGTTGGAGCTGGGATGAGCTGGAGCTGACACACACCACACACACACACACACACCACACACACACACACACACACACACACACACACACACACCACACACACACAGGGGGCAGCTGCTGAGCCCGCTAGGAGACAGGTGTCACAGACACCGACATTAACCCAATCACACAACCTCGTCATAAAAATATCAACACACACCTTATAATAGAGCTGTCTGGACAGTGGAGAGTGGTTGCATTGTGTTGCTAAGATATTGCTGTAGAAAGGAAGCCATGTCTCTGTACAGCCTATATGAGACTGAAGCAAACACAAAGACTGACCTATTCGTATGTTGACCTATCATTCCTGTAAATGCCACCATGTCACTTATACAATGATGGAAAAATTGTCAGAATTTCTATAACGATGTTAAAGGAAAACCATTCAGATTAGATTAAAAGAACATAACTAGTAGCATAACAGGGATGTGCTTGTACTATGCTGTACATTCTTCCTGTAAGTCAGTTATTTGTAATGTTAAATGGAATTGTATATTTAAGCAATAAGGCATGAGGGGGTCTGGTATATGGCCAATATACCACGGCTAAGGGCTGTTCTTACGCACGACGCAACGCGGAGTGCCTGGATACAGCCCTTAGCCATGGTATATTGGCCATATACCACAAACCCATGACGTGATTGCTTATATAAACTGGTTACCAACGTAATTAGAGCAATAAAAATACATTTTTTGTCATACCCGTGGTATGAGTCTGATACGACGGCTGTCAGCCAATCAGCATTCAGGGCTTGAACCACCCAGTTTATAAAACATAATAGTATACGATGCATTTGTAGTTTACTAGACCGGATTACCATAAGGACTGTAGGAATGTTTTACTGACCAATGGGTAAAGCATCTGTGTGTGCAGAGTGTAGTGTATTGTGAAGGGTACAGTGTGCAGTGCACCTACCGCCTCGTCATAACCCATGTGCATGAACTGCATGATCCACTGCTGCACATCTGGCCTGCTGCGGTCCCAGATGTTCCTCTTGGGCCTCCGTAGGGAGGTCAGGAACTCTTTGGCCTTGGAGGGGGCCACCGCCACCCCCACCTCCACAGGCTTCGTGTCTCCGCCCACTAAGGAAATACAGGTAGGAGAGGTTAAGGGTCAAGGTGCGGATGTAAAGCAGTCAATAACCACACCTGTTTGTCTACAGCAGTGTTGGAGGCAGGGGAAGTGTGTAGGGAGCAGGGGAGCTGTCAGTGACAGAGATAGAGTGGTTCTGACCGAGCAGCAGCAGCCAGGAGAGACAGGAGAGGAGCCTAAGGCTGCATTAGCGACACTCTATAAATATCAATGGGTGCTTTTTATTATTAATAAGACTCATAAAGCCATCATCATCTGAAACTGTCACTTATCAATCCAGGCATTCATCCCACAGAGGACTGTATGTTTTGCATGCCATGGAGGTCTGTCTGAATTTGACAGGGCTATTCAAAGATAGACAAGTGTGAAAAGTTTACCGCCTGAGGTAGATTTGTCGATAAAGTTATTTATGAAAGGTGAATTGTTTTCCTGACATTTATGACGCAGACATGTGGATGTACTGTGGCTCAGTGTAGTCAGTGTGTGTAGTCTCAGCTGTGAGATGTTTCTCATGAAAAACAGCCATAATCCATATTGCCACCTCTTTTCTTCAGTAGTCTGTGGAGCCTGCTCTCCCTTGTGCCATCTGTTGGAGACGCACAGACACAAGAGGTTAAATAAAGACAAATCAGATATATTGTACTTGATCTAAACATTACCTCACTTTGAATCAACTGTTATATCATTACTGAGTGTACAAAATATTTGTATTGAGTTGCACCCCCTTTTTCCCTCAGAACAGCCTCAATTCGTCGGGGCATGGACTCTACAAGGTGTCGAAAGTGTTCCACAGGGATGCTGGCCCATGTTGACTCCAATGCTTCCCACATTGTGTCAAGTTGGCTGGATGTTCTTTGGGTGGTGCAGCATTCTTGATACACACGGGAAACTGTTACGTGTGAAAAACCCAGCAGCGCTGTAGTTCTTGACACACTCAAACCGGTGCGCCTAGCACCTACTACCATACCCCGTTCAAAAGGCACTTAAATATTTTGTCTTGCCCATTCACTCTCTGAATGGCACACATACACAATCCATGTCTCAACTGTCTCAAGGCTTAAAAATCCTTCTTTAACCTGTCTACTCCCTTTCATCTACACTGATTGAAGTGGATTTAACAAGTGACATCAATAAGGGATCATAGCTTTCACCTGGATTCACCAGGTCAGTCTACTCTATGTCATGGAAAGAGCAGGTGTTCCTAATGTTTTGTACACTCAGTGTATATCATTATTATGACCTATGACAGAGAGAGAGAGTTCAAGTAAAGAGTAAATAAGAAATCTAATACGGAAGCAGCTCTGTTTTATTACATTTAAGTGTTACAATTCTCCAATTAAGTGATAGAAGTCAAACCTATGCAGTATATAGAAACCTTGGTGAGTATATAAAAACAGTTGTAAAAATAATGTTTATATAAAAAAGGTTTTATCCATCCCTTCATACCCATTCACCATACCAATACTTGAAAAACACTCCAGTTATCAAAGTATTACCAGGGCAACCTAAACAACACATTAGAAGGTCCGTTGAACAACAATGGAATTCTGGCACTGGTATTTCTATTTTTCAACCATTACTATGCAAGATGAATACAAACTGCAAGCTTCTCAAATAATTCACAGCTCTGTATGGGTTTTGATGACAGCCGTTCAGGAACTTGGGCACCGCGCAAGATAAGAAGTTGCCCCCATCCCACCTGCTAATTGGGCAACTTGTTTTGTTGTCTGAGTGAGGGAAATGCTGTAAATTAAGATGACTCAATGTATTTTGAAAGATGAGACGTTGAGGATTATAATAAATACCGCTCTGATGTCGTACAACCAAGTCAATCACCCGTGAGTCCAAATGTGCACTTCACATCTCCACATCATAAAACTCATGTCATATGCAGTGTCAACGTTTATGATCAGTATGTTTGATGTACAGTTACAATATGACATATCGTCATACCCTGGGTTGTTCTGAACAGAATGAGCCTGTGTTTGTTTATTGTGAAGAACATTTGCCATGGCACACCCTCCTGAATGCACTCTTGACTCCTTTCTGTGCCCACCTGACCCAGATTACGATTTATAATGGACCGTTTTTGGATTGCGTAAACAACAGTAATTGTGTGATGGCGGGGATGCAGGGCCATGTTCCAAACAAAACAACTACAAGTGTGCTTGCTCTAGTTACTCTATGGCACAGCTAGGAGAGCTAAAAAAAAAGTTCCTTATAGTTGAAGACTCATCTTTGAGTCATAAAAGTGCATTGAAATTACTTAGGAACTGTGCACACTTTGGAGAGGTGTGTGGCCACTTGGAGACACCAATCAGACTTCTCACTCAAATCCTTATAATTGTTTTGTCTTATGTTGCACCTACCCCACATTCTCCAGAAATATTATTATCATGTTACTGAACATATCCAGAGTATTTTCGGATTTCGTTATCAACAAATGCGGCAAAAAGTACAGTAAATATAAAATGAATATAAAATCAACAGTGTAATGTTTGGATTCAGTCTTGTTAACTGTTGTGTCCTCAACTTTGGTCTAATAATTTTCCCATAATCTCCAAACTGTTCCCTTTCAATTGTTACCATGGTTATGCAAATGATTTTCATATTTATTTTGTAAGAAACATTTCAATTTAGCCATATCCATATAGGCCCATTCCCTCGAGTGTAAAGGGTTAATGGATGTGCTGTATAAATGTAGTTCTTTAAATGTAGTCTGGTTTGATATTAGAGGACCGGTTAGAGAGGTAGAGAGTTGAGACCTTATTCCTCTAGCTAGCAGACAGTAGATGGTAGGACGGTGATATTCACAGGCAAACAATGTGACGTGAGGGTGTGAAATCCTCCCTCCAGGAGCTGTGGTTAGGTTTGACTGCCTTTTGTTCCCCACGCACAAATACTTCAATCTCTCTCCTCCCTTTTTTTTTACTCTCCCTCCCGCTATTCTCTTGGTTTACCTCTCCTTCTTTCTCCCTCTCTCTCTTAACCATTATTCTTTCTCCCAGTGTACTTCAAAAAATCTAAGCCTCCCACAGAGCATCCAAGATGGTGGCTACAGGGCGGATAGAATAGCCACTGAACACTTTCAAAATCAGATGTCACACTGTCCTCGAGAAGAAGAAAAAAATCAAGTCTCGGTTAAACTCAGCAATTTCGAAACAGAGTGAGAGGGGAAAATATATCGAGACAGGCGTGCAGGCGCCCTTTTCCAAATCTCTATTCTCTGTAACAATTTTGTCACGTGGCAACATACTATGACATTTGAATGCATCAACCTGCAAATTGACAGTATAAATGTGATGGGTCAGTGAGTACACTCAATCACAAATGTACAATATGAATGACGGAAGGGTTTTACCTGAGTGAGCGCAGTAGGAGAGGAAGGCAATTAGCAGTAGAACCTGCAGACAGAGGTTGTGGAAAGCCATGGTCTCCGTCTCTGTTCCAGACGTCTCTCTGAGTCTCGGGAAGCAGTGGGAAGAAGAGGCGGGAGGAGAATCAGGAGAAGTGGAAGCAGGAGTCTCCCCACAGGGCCAAAGAACAAACATTCCTTCCTGGAGGAAAACCTGCTTGTGCCGGTTCAGGAATGTCATAAAAGGAAGGCCCAGCCAAACAGAAGCCCTCGGTCATTCTCTCTAAAGTTGAATGTGTGGGTGATATGTTCGTTGGATGGGTAACACTTTATTTAGATAGTCTGTAGTCCTTCTGTAGATGCTCTATCTACAAGCTATCAGTAACACTTAAACTAATTATCTACTAACCATAACCATAACCTTATCCTAACCCTAAACTTAACACTTACTCTAACCCTAGCCCTAACCTTAGCCCTTACCCTAACCCTTATTCTAAACCTAACCCTAACCGTAACCTTAGCAAGCAGTTTGTTGATAGTATGACCATCTGTATAGCATCTACAGATGGACTATTTGGACTATCCAAATAAAAGTGTGACCGAGCATTGCTACATGTACAGCAGTGCAAGGCTAAGATACTGTGCTTTCTCTTACTGAGATATGTTGATGTTTTTCTGTCGAATGTCTTTACACAGAAAGCGGAAAATGGTAACTGTCAAACAACTGTTCAGCCTGATCAATGATGTCATTGAAACAACAACAACACAGAAAACCGTATCATATTTCCTCCACATATTCAGCAGTAAATTATAATTTTCCTGTGTGCTTTTTTCAGACCACGTAGTAACTTAACAAATAGCATCATACTGCTGCAATCAACAAATCTGGGGCCATATTTATGGAACACCACTCAAGGACGTTTTCCCCTGGGGCATGATTCCATGCAGAAAGAGCAAAATATCTCAAGGGAAGGACAGATGTTTCTGAACAGGAAAAAACACATCCCCACAGAGAAGAAAAAAAACCGTTTGAATTTAATTTAATTTCCTTACTTTACTTTGAAGTGTGTCTGAGCCCCAAGATCATGGAGACCAGTCCTCTTTACACAGGTAGGGGGCAGTAGAGAGGTGTGATTTTAAATTATCCAAATTCTTATCCTTTTCTCTTTATATTTTACATATATACAGTACCAGTCAAAAGTTTGGACACACCTACTCATTCCATGGTTTTTCTTTACTTTTACTATTTTCTACATTGTAGAATAATAGTGAAGACATCAAAACTATGAAATAACACATATGGAATCATGTAGTAACCAAAAAAGTGTTAAACAAATCAAAATATATTTTATATTTGAGATTCTTCTAAGTAGCCACCCTTTGCCTTGATGGCAGCTTTGCACACTCTTGGCATTCTCTCAACCCGCTTCACCTGGAATGCTTTTACAACAGTCTTGAAGGAGTTCCCACATATGCTGAGCACTTGTTGGCTGCTTTTCCTTCACTCTGCAGTCCAACTCATCCCAAACCATTTCAATTGGGTTGAGGTCGGGGGATTATGGAGGCCAGGTCATCTGATGCAGCACTCCATCACTCTCCTTCTTGGTAAAATAGTCCTTACACAGCCTGAAGGTGTGTTGAGTCATTGTCCTGTTGAAAAACAAATGATAGTCCCACTAAGCGCAAACCAGATGGGATGGCGTATCGCTGCAGAATGCTGTGGTAGCCATGCTGGTTAAGAATTCTAAATAAACGACAGACAGTGTCACCAGCAAAGCACCCCCATGCCATAACACCTCCTCCTTCATGCTTTATGGTGGGAACCACACATGCGTAGATCATCCGTTCACCCACACCGCGTCTCACAAAGATACGGCGGTTGGAACCAAAAATCTCCAATTTGGACTCCAGACCAAACAACACATTTCTACCGGTCTACTGTCCATTGCTCGTGTTTCTTGGCCCAAGCAGGTCTCTTCTTCTTATTGGTGTCCTTTAGTAGTGGTTTATTTGCAGCAATTCGACCATGAAGGCCTGATTCACGCAGTCTCCTCTGAACAGTTGATGTTGAGATGTGTCTGTGACTTGAACTGAGTGAAGCATTTATTTGGGCGGCAATTTCTGAGGCTGGTAACTAATGAACTTATCCTCTGCAGCAGAGGTAACTCTGGGTCTTCCATTCCTGTGGTGGTCCTCATGAGAGCCAGTTTCATCATAGCACTTAATGGTTTTTGCGACCTCACTTGAAGAAACTTTCAAAGTTCTTGAAATTGTCTGTATTGACTGACCTTCATGTCTTAAAGTTTCTCTTTACTTATTTGAGCTGTTCTTGCCATAATATGGACTTGGTCTTTTACCAAATAGGGCTATCTTCTGTATACCCCCCTACCTTGTCACAACACAACTGATTGGCTCAAACGCATTAAGGAGGGAAGAAATTCCACAAATTAACTTTTAAGAAGGCACACCTGTTAATTGAAATGCATTCCAGGTGACTACCTCATGAAGCTGGTTGAGATAATGCCAAGAGTGTGCAAAGCTGTCATCAAGGGTAGCTATTTGAAGAATCTCAAATATAAAATATATTTTGATTTCACACGTTTTTGTTTACTACATGATTCCATATGTTTTATTTCATAGTTTTGATGTCTTCACAATTACTCTACAATGTATAAAATAGTACAAATAAAGGAAAACCCTTGAATGAGTAGGTGTGTCCAAACTTTTGACTGGTAGTGTATATATTTCCCTACTTTTGCCCAGGTCCCACAGGACTATAAAGGGAATACGGTGCCATTTGAGATGCACCCTCAGTCATGTTTTGAGAGATTCCTCTCAACCAAGATGACACTATGTTTAAGACATACTGCAACCTCGTCCTTGTCCACTCTCTGAACTGAAGGTAGGAGAGGTGTTAAAGGCATTATAAGTTAAATCAATATGTTGGATATCTTACCATCAGTAATCTTTCTCTTCAGTGCTGATGTGGGCAGGAGGCAAGGCAACAATGTGCTCTCTTCTTGTTGTGATGAATACCTCATTGATCCACTCTGCAGGTTGCAAATCAAGGAATGCTGTCTTTGTTAGTGTGGCATTGTGAAAATGTGTTCGTGTCTATTCCAGATTATGGACAAAACAACTTTGTCCTTGTCCCTAGGAGCGATGGAACAGCTACTTGTCTATTTCTTATTATGGTGTACAGACAATATATCGACAGCAAATAGAAAACACACAACTCAACTTAAAAACAGAACAAGACTCACCTCTAGGCCTCACCTCCCAATATTTATTGAAATATTAAATACAATTGTTCACAAGAAAAAATCCCTCCAGCAAAGCGTATGACCACAATATCTACCATATGTTTGTAATACACACTAATTGGCTACCAATCTGTTGTTTGTATATATATATTGTTGTTTATGGGATCATAATATTGGTCTTTCCCATGTTAGTAAATTGGCTTATTCTATTTACTAGGCCAAGATTAAATGAATGAAAGTATTTCTCTGCGCTTTAAAGCAAGCCATCCTTGAGCGGGCGATGTTCAGTTAATGGTCGATTAGGCTTTCAGGGAGCCACTGCTTCACCAACCGACAGACTATTTGGCAAACATCTGTCAGCGTGCAGACTGACTCTTCCTCAAGACAAACAGAGAACTCAGCTGCTGTGACTTGCATGAGAGTCACACGATAGACCCCTCTGTCTGTAAGGCACACACATAGGTGAGATTCCCCCTGTGATTAGCATTATAGACTGGGATGGAACACACCTTAACCTTGGGGTTTGAATGGTTTGCCTGCCTGGCATGTACCCTGATAGTGAAATCTCAGTCTGCATTCCTGACTGTGCTCCTGTGAGAGGACGGAACACCTGCACTCAGCTCAGGGCTGGCCTCTGCAGTGAAACAGGGGTCAAAGAGAAGTCACAGAGAGAGAGGGGCGACAAGCGCTCTTTCACTCTCTCACACACACAGGGGTAAAACACTGGGGGAATAAATAACACTTAAGCTGGGTAGATTCAGAGAAATAGGAGAAAGGTCACGCTTCAGGAGATTTCTACATAACACACAGCATCTCAATGTTCATTTGGTGTGCGATTTCTTAGAACCGGCAGCCGTAGAAAAGTGTTTAGGTGTACAGTGTATCTATAGCTATGAGGATGATACACACTTTACACCATCTTGACCTGACACCATCCTTATAACAACTCTACATCCACCTATCCTATCGCCTCTGTCACCATGGCAACCGGGGGAGGGCTTCTTCTTTAAAGTGTGTGTTAATGGTAAAGTTTCCCCCCATGTTGAGTGATCACCCCGCACGCCACTACACAGCATGCCCTATTCCCTGCCACCGCAGGCCACTACACAGCATGCCCTATTCATTGCCTCTCTCTGATCTCTCTCAGCCAGCATGACATGCAGTTGCTGCATGCCAGGCGAAAGAACACACAGATACGAAGAGGACAAAACTTAATTCTTGGAGAATTCAAACACTTCCATATCACTGCTCTTTGAATCGCTCAATAGTTACAGTTACAGACATCTCTGATATGTGGATTTGCAAAGGGTCGATTACACGGATTAAGCAAGTGCTTTTTAGTCCAAGAATAAGCTAAATCTGTGTTCAGGAAACTTGCCCTGAGTAGTAGTTTCAAGCAAGCCAGGATTCTGACAAACATGTTGATAGCTGCTGCACGATTGTACATTTCCATTAATCAATTGTTTAACAACTTTAACTTCTGTGCCAAGGACATCTTTTGGGAGGAGAGCTTTGCATGCAACGGCTGTTCAAGACAAGTTTAAAGAAACAGACTATTCACAAGAATTACAGCTCCAGGTTCCTGGGAGAGTTTAATTGGGTTGTAAGCAAGGCAGTTTCACACACAGAACGCATACAAATGTATTGTCCATGGACACAACACAAGGCAAAGTCAAGTGTATGAGAGACCTGATCTGGTGTCAACGTGTGTTCTCTGTCTATCACACGTACAGTACTGAGCATCACATGACCTCCATGCAGAGGCTCCACCCCCTCCCTTTCTCCTCTTTGGTGATTGTCAATACATGTCTTTTCCAGGGTCCTCTGAGGACATAGAGTAGGCCTCTATATACAATTTACACTACTTGCATGCAGTAGAGAGATGTTGGTTCTAGTTCTGGTCCCGTAATCATAAAGTGTCTCAGAGTAGGAGTGCTGATCTAGGATCCGTTTTTCATTTTAGATCACAATTAATTAGATTACATGGACAGGGGGGCCTGATCCTAGATCAGCATTCCCATTCTGAGACGCTTGATATGGCCCCAGATCTAGGCTCAGGTACCCCCTGTCCATACACTCTTATTCATTTTGATTTAAAAGGCGAAACTGATCCTGTACCAGTTTTTATATATGCTGTTGTTGTGGTTCCGGTTCCTCACTCCTCGTCAGGGTCGGACAGCTCATAGCCCAGGCGGCTGGCGGAGGGGAAGTGAGCCCAGAAGGTTCTGGACAGGTCTTCAATCTTCTCATAACCAGCTTGCTCGCGCAGAGCCTCCACCCAGCCGAAGAAGTCAGAGGAGGTCAGAGCCCAGTTGGGCATGCTGCGCTTCTCACGCCCCACATCTGCTGCTGGGAACCAATGAGAGCACGAGAAGAGGATGTCATAAGGGAACCAATCAGAGGCTGAGTGAATGATACTGCACTTCACTAAGACTGGACACACATGACACAACTTGACATGGATTGATAGCTGTTTACTACATACATTATTTTCAGTGTAATACATAATCAATACACAATCAATACACAAGCTGTATTCATTGATTATACATGTGTGTTTGTGACAGTGATAGAACCACTGTACGGAACCTTTGCAATTCTCCCACTTCCCAGCCTTCCTCCCTGCTACACCAACCATAACAGCCTCGTTAATTTCTCAGTGTTTACCTCTGTCACCCCTTCACTACAACCTGAGCTTAAGCCGCATTCCTTTAACCAAAGTCAATAAAATACCTTGTAAAAAACGGCTTGTCTTCGAATTGAAACCAAAGCTCCCGTTGAGCATCTCAGACTTATGGTTGATTAAAGACCAGTCTGGTGCGAGGGGCTCCGGACGTCCCCTAGGCCCAGAGATAGGCCTCTCACTGTGGGGTGGTGGGAGAGAGGGCCAGGGCCACGCTGGGATAGCAGGCTAGGACAACAACACTCCACAGCTCCCAACTCAAACATAACAACCATGTTAGTGAGAAACTATAGGAAGCTATGGGGATATGATGTGGAGGCCCCAATGACGTCTTCTCTTACGTCTGTCCCTCTGACCTCTCTCTCTCCTTGTCTCTTGCTGTGTGTGTGTACATACACTGAGTGTACAAAACATTAAGAACACCTCCCTAATATTGAGTTGCACCCCCCCACAAGGTGTCAAAAGTGTTCCACAGGGATGCTGGCCCATGTTGACGCCAATGCTTCCCACAGTTGTGTCAAGTTGGCTGGATGTCCTTTGAGCGGTGAACCATTCTTAATACTGTTGAGAGTGAAAAACCCAGCAAAGTTGCAGTTCTTGACCAACTAAAACCGGTGCGCCTGGCACCTACTACCATACCCCATTCAAAGGCACTTAAATATTTTGTCTTGCCCATTCACCCTTTGAATGGCACACATACACAAGCCATCCATGTCTCAATTGTCTCAAGACTTAAAAATCCTTATTTAACCTGTCTCCTCCCTTTCATCTACACTGATTTAAGTGAATTTAACAGGTGACATCAATAAGGGATCATAGCTTTCACCTGGATTCACCAGGTCAGCCTGTCATGAAAAGAGCAGTTGTTGCTAATGTTTTGTCCACTCAGTGTATGTCTTCAAGCTATAGTTGCACAACTAAAAATATTGAATCAACATTGCTAGGGTTGGTTTGATTGAATCCAACTCCATCTTGCTAACACCTGGTTACCCAGTCTCCCAGTAAAACACACTCACCTTTGCCTTCTCCTGCTGTCTCCTCAGCCCCTGAGTTAGAGGGAGAAAAGACACAGGAATTATTCAGACCAGCGGACAGAACTGAAGGAACCCTATGGGTCTTCATGGTGACTCACACAGCTCTGTTGATGGGTGACTTGTGACAAAACAGAGATCAAGTGAATTAGTCTAGCCAGTGTTCTCAGTATTGACAAAACAGAGAAAGTGAATTAGTCTAGTGTTCCCAGTATTAAAGTGTGTTTTGATGGACCACTCTCTCTTTCTCACTAGGATTGAGGAGTGTTTTTTTTTTCTCCCCCTCTAAATTCTCCCACCACCCCTCTCTCCCTCCATCTTTGTGTCTCACTCTCTCTGACATTGCCCAATATGGCCAACACGCTGGGCAGGCAGCAGCAGGTTAGCAGACAGAGGGAGGGAGACAGAGGCAGTGAGGTGGAAGACAGGCGATGAAGAGGATATGGAGCGGCTGACTGCTAAGTGCCATGCGCTGCGCCTGGCCCTGGACTGCTCTGACATTCACAGCCTTTATTAAATATCCTCAGAGGAGAGGAAGGTCGCGGCAGAACAATGAAGAGGTAAGTAAAGGCCAGTAGAGAAACACAAAACTGGGTTCAAATGCTATTCAAAGTAATTTCAACATACTTTCTCTGGGATTGGTTGAGTTTGCCTGGCACAATAGAACCAATAGAATAGACTGAAAATTACAAACCCCGCCCATCTGGCACTCCAGGCAGACTGAAGCAAACGCTAAAAATCTCAAATAGTATTTGAACCCAGGTCTGATAGGATACATAGGGGAGGGGAAAGGTAAACGCTCAGCTTGGTCAACAGAGAGAGAGCTAAGCATGGTAGGCACACAGTGTAATACTTCTACCGTCTCAATGAAAATGAAAAAGGGAGAGAGAAAACAAAAGAGCAAAAGAAGGAAATGAACTATGACTCTGACCTCCATAAACCGCAACCAGATGTTTTTCATCAAAACAACGTAATTTCCACTCAATCAAATATCTCGGAGTGATGTTGTGACAAAGGCTCTATTGCATCGCCACCACAGAGTAAGAACACATTCTGTTCTTTCCTGTTATAAAGGTGTTTTGTTGTTGTTGCTTACAACCTGCAGCAACCCCATGGGCTAAGTAATACATGGGCAGTACACACACTGCTATTGCAACAATGCCACCACGCAGGCACTGCTGTATGTCTCTGAATAGCCAATACTGCACATGCATTGTGTAGGCAAGGCAAGCCGGAAGAAGCTCTATTCAATTAAATATACAGTATTGTGGTGTATTGTTGAAGAAATGTTACCAACATTATATCATGGGAGGACATCCGTTTAATTTGAAAGAAAAACCTTCAAAACTTTCTCCTTATATTCCACAATAAAATCCAAGTTTACAGAGAAATGTCTGACTATAAACAATGTAAAGAGATACAGTGGGGAGAACAAGTATTTGATACACTGCCGATTTTGCAGGTTTTCCTACTTACAAAGCATGTAGAGGTCTGTAATTTTTATCATAGGTACACTTCAACTGTGAGAGATGGAATCTAAAACAAAAATCCAGAAATTCACATTGTATGATTTTTAAGTAATTAATTTGCATTTTATTGCATGACATAAGTATTTGATACATCAGAAAAGCAGAACTTAATATTTGGTACAGAAACCTTTGTTTGCAATTACAGAGATCATATGTTTCCTGTAGGTCTTGACCAGGTTTGCACACACTGCAGCAGGGATTTTGGCCCACTCCTCCATACAGACCTTTTCCAGATCCTTCAGGTTTCGGACTTTCAGCTCCCTCCAAAGATTCTCTATTGGTTCAGGTCTGGAGACTGGCTAGGCCACTCCAGGACCTTGAGATGCTTCTTATGGAGCCACACCTTAGTTGCCCTGGCTGTGTGTTTTGGGTTGTTGTCATGCTGGAAGACCCAGCCACGACCCCTCTTACTGAGGGAAGGAGGTTGTTGGCCAAGATCTCGCGATACATGGCCCCATCCATCCTCCCCTCAATACGGTGCAGTCGTCCTGTCCCCTTTGCAGAAAAGCATCCCCAAAGAATGATGTTTCCACCTCCCTGCTTCACGGTTGGGATGGTATTCTTGGGGTTGTACTCATCCTTCTTCTTCCTCCAAACACGGCGAGTGGAGTTTAGACCAAAAAGCTATATTTTTGTCTCATCAGACCACATGACCTTCTCCCATTCCTCCTCTGGATCATCCAGATGGTCATTGGCAAACTTCAGACGGGCCTGGACATGCGCTGGCTTGAGCAGGGGGACCTTGCGTGCGCTGCAGGATTTTAATCCATGACGGCGTAGTGTGTTACTAATGGTTTTCTTTGAGACTGTGGTCCCAGCTCTCTTCAGGTCATTGACCAGGTCCTGCCGTGTAGTTCTGGGCTGATCCCTCACCTTCCTCATGATCATTGATGCCCCACGAGGTGAGATCTTGCATAGAGCCCCAGACCGAGGGTGATTGACCGTCATCTTGAACTTCTTCCATTTTCTAATAATTGCGCCAACAGTTGTTGCCTTCTCACCAAGCTGCTTGCCTATTGTCCTGTAGCCCATCCCAGCCTTGTGCAGGTCTACAATTTTATCCCTGATGTCCTTACACAGCTCTCTGGTCTTGGCCATTGTGGAGAGGTTGGAGTCTGTTTGATTGAGTGTGTGGACAGGTGTCTTTTATACAGGTAACGAATTCAAACAGGTGCAGTTAATACAGGTAATGAGTGGAGAACAGGAGGGCTTCTTAAAGAAAAACTAACAGGTCTGTGAGAGCCGGAATTCTTACTGGTTGGTAGGTGATCAAATACTTATGTCATGCAATAAAATGTAAATTAATCACAGTTGAAGTGTACCTATGATAAAAATTACAGACCTCTACATGCTTTGTAAGTAGGAAAACCTGCAAAATCGGCAGTGTATCAAATACTTGTTCTCCCCAATGTATGCTGAGGACTAAACTTCATATTTGATGCATTGAGACAGAACCAAGTAAAAACACTATAATCAATATCTGTCTTTTATTTTTTGTTGTTGACTGTACTGGCTGTTGTAATGTCACAGTAGTTAGTCAGAAGGTTACATTCCTAGTGAACTAATGGATAACATTTCCTCCAGAGAAACAAACTGACTGTCTGGCTGCATCTCCAAGGTAATTAGTTCCAGTTGACGGTTTCTGAGAGTTGCTCCAGACTGCAGTAAGAGACAACAGCAGGGCAATAACAGTCTCATTCAGATTTAACTCACATTAATGGGGAGTGTCTCAATAGTGCAAAGTGGATTCCTCTCCATATCTCCTCTTATCCATCTACAGTACACAAAGCCGAGAAGCCAGTAAAGAGGTAGTGACCTTTCCTCTTTTAAAAGTTATTTCACATCAGCCCACAGAGATATTGGGGAGATGAATTGAAGAAAGGAGGCCACCACCACCACTTTACATTTACATTTTAGTAGACGCTCTTATCCAGAGCGACTTACAGTTAGTGAGTGCATACATTCTTTTTTTTCTTTTTCATACTGGCTCTCCATGGGAATCGAACCCACAACCCTGGCGTTGCAAACGCCATGCTCTACCAACTGAGCTACATCCCTGCTGGCCATTCCCTCCCCCGACGACGCTGGGCCAATTGTGCGCAGCCCCATGGGTTTCATCCAAGTACAAAGTCACAATCCAATACTACGCTTATGCACAAAATACAGTGGCTTGCGAAAGTATTCACCCCCCTTGGCATTTTTCCTATTTTGTTGCCTTACAACCTGGAATTAAAATAGATTTTTGGGGGGTTTGTATAATTTGATTTACACAACATGCCTACCACTTTGAAGATGCAAAATATGTTTTATTGTGAAACAAACAAGAAATAAGACAAAAAAACTGAAGACTTGAGCGTGCATAACTATTAACTATCCCCCCCCCCCCCAAAGTCAATACTTTGTAGAGCCACCTTTTGCTGCATTTACAGCTGCAAGTCTCTTGGGGTATGTCTCTATAAGCTTGGCGCATCTAGCCACTGGGATTTTTGACCATTCTTCAAGGCAAAACTGCTCCAGCTCCTTCAAGTTGGATGGGTTCCACTGGTGTACAGCAATCTTTAAGTCATACCACAGATTCTCAATTGGATTGAGGTCTGGGCTTTGACTAGGCCATTCCAAGACGTTTAAATGTTTCCCCTTAAACCACTTGAGTGTTGCTTTAGCAGTATGCTTAGGGTCATTGTCCTGCAGGAAGGTGAACCTCCGTCCCAGTCTCAAATCTCTGGAAGACTGAAATAGGTTTCCCTCAAGAATTTCCCTGTATTTAGCGCCATCCATCATTCCTTCAATTCTGACCAGTTTCCCAGTCCATGCCGATGAAAAACATCCCCACAGCATGATGCTGCCACCACCATGCTTCACTGTGGGGATGGTGTTCTCGGGGTGATGAGAGGTGTTGGGTTTGCGCCAGACATCTCATCTGACCAGAGTACCTTCTTCCATATGTTTGGGGAGTCTCTCACATGCCTTTTGGCGAACACCAAATGTGTTTGCTTATTTTTTTCTTTAAGCAATGGCTTTTTTCTGGCCACTCTTCAGTAAAGCCCAGCTCTGTGGCGTGTATGGCTTAAAGTGGTCCTATGGACAGATACTCCAATCTCCACTGTGGAGTTTTGCAGCTCCTTCAGGGTTATCTTTGGTCTCTGTTGCCTCTCTGATTAATGCCCTCCTTGCCTTGCCTGGAGTTTTGGTGGGCGGCCCTCTCTCGGCAGGTTTGTTGTGGTGCCATATTCTTTCCATTTTTTTTATAATGGATTTAATGGTGCTCCGTGGGATGTTCAAAGTTTCTGATATTTTTTTTATAACCCAACCCTGATCTGTACTTCTCCACAACTTTGTCCCTGACCTGTTTGTAGAGCTCCTTGGTTTTCATGGTGCCCCTTGCTTAGTGATGTTGCAGACTCTGGGGCCTTTCAGAACAGGTGTATATATACTGAGATCATGTGACAGATCATGTGACACTTAGATTGCACACAGGTGGACTTTATTTAACTAATTATGTGACTTCTGAAGGTAATTGGTTGCACCAGATCTTATTCAGGGGCTTCATAGCAAAGGGGGTGAATACATATGCACGCACCACTTTTCTGTTATTTATTTTGTATAATTTTTTTCATTCCACTTCACCAAATTGGACTATTTTGTGTATGTCCATTACATGAAATAAAAATCCATTTAAATTACAGGTTGTAAGGCAACAAAATTGGAAAAACGCGAAGGGGAATGAATACTTTTGCAAGGCTCTGTATGTATGTATAGGCAGTAGCAGCTGGCATTCAATTGAAATCTCTCTCTCTATATATATATATATATATAGGCCTGTGGGCCTTGAGAGACAATACTTTGTCTCTACACTTAGTGTCAGATGTCAAAAAATACACTTCTGATATTTAAACATTTTCAAATATCTCATAACATTCTGCCCCAATATTTGATTCAAAATTCTGTCATCTGAAGCGCATCTTACATCTTCTATTTCTATTTACTGTAGGTTAAAATGACGTTGAAGAGATGTCTTGTCCTCACTGGGACCTTTTGGATGCCTTCCATTATCACTGATGAAAATGACACAGGCTCAGTCTCTCACCTCTATTCACCAGTGTGGCAGTGGAGGCTGCTGAGGGGAGGACGGCTCATAATAATGGCTGGAATTGAGTCAATGGAATGGTATCAACAACATGGAAACCACGTCTTTGATGTGTTTGATACCATTCCATTGACGCCATTCCAGCCGTTACTATGAGCCGTCCTCCCCTCAGCAGCCTCCACTGCAGTGTGGAGTGCTAACAGGCTGACTTACCTATTAGAGAGAGGAGACCCAGCAGGACGACCCAGAGCAGCATTGAGACACAAAGACGAGGCATGGTTTTACACTGTGGTAGGTAGCACAAAGACAGAAACACAACCACTAACTGTGAGAAATTGTGGCAGCTTGTTCTGTAACATCTTAAGATTTAGCTTGGGGAGAAGAGTTGTGTCAGAGAACAACAGAAGAACACAACAAAGAAGGTTTGGAACACAAGTAAGAACACAAAGAGTTACATTTAAAGGTACATTTCGGATTTTGCAGCAGGTGCAGAATTTGCATTTTCCCCCAGTAACAGATAAATCACCCAAAACAAAACTAAATCAATAAACACTCTTAATTTACACTGATACAGGTACCTGGTGCTGGATCCGGGCTGTTGTTCCTCTTGCTCTGGGCATGTAGTGTGTGTATGTCCAGATATACCCAGACTCTGGAAGAACAGATACAGTAAACAGAGCTGTCCAGGATATGTTGGTCCTTCACACTTCAGCATCACATGCCATACCTTACCTCCAAACCAACCACCCTCTCTTTCCTACCCGGTCTCCACTTCTCACACCTGAAGCAGACATGTCAACGGACTGAAAGGCTTCCTTTGTGGAGGAAGAGGAGAGATGGAGGAGAGGGAGAGCAGGGAATGTCAACACTCTTACCCCTCACCAATAGGTCCGATGCAGACAAATTGTACCTATCTATATAACTTACAAATGCTTATGTTCCCAAGCACCGCAATCATGTACTGTTGATTAAAATAATTGTTTTCTGCTGCTCAATTTGTCCATTAATTTAATGAAACATCATTATCAATAATGCTTTCATGTACAGTATACGTTCAATCAATACCTCCACATCTTGAAAGTGAAAAACATCATAGCCTACATTGATTTTGTAACCCACAAATCTCACACAGCAGTGCACAATCTAAAATCCCACCGGGGCCACCCATACAAAAACATTTTTTTATGCATTCGTGATTGTAAGTCGCTTTGGATAAAAGCGTCTGCAAAATGACCTACAGTGAGGGAAAAAAGTATTTGATCCCCTGCTGATTTTGTACGTTTGCCCACTGACAAAGAAATGATCAGTCTATAATTTTAATGGTATGTTTATTTGAACAGTGAGAGACAGAATAACAACAAAAACATCCAGAAAAACGCATGTCAAAAATGTTATAAATTGATTTGCATTTTATTGAGGGAAATAAGTATTTGACCCCCTCTCAATCAGAAAGATTTCTGGCTCCCAGGTGTCTTTTATACAGGTAACGAGCTGAGATTAGGAGCACACTCTTAAAGGGAGTGCTACTAATCTCAGTTTTTTACCTGTATAAAAGACACCTGTCCACAGAAGCAATCAATTAATCAGATTCCAAACTCTCCACCATGGCCAAGACCAAAGAGCTCTCCAAGGATGTCAGGGACAAGATTGTAGACCTACACAAGGCTGGAATGGGCTACAAGACCATCGCCAAGCAGCTTGGTGAGAAGGTGACAACAGTTGGTGTGATTATTCGCAAATGGAAGAAACACAAAATAACTGTCAATCTCCCTCGGCCTGGGGCTCCATGCAAGATCTCACCTCGTGGAGTTGCAATGATCATGAGAACGGTGAGGAATCATCCCAGAACTAACCGGGAGGATCTTGTCAATGATCTCAAGGCAGCTGGGACCATAGTCACCAAGAAAACAATTGGTAACACACTACGCCGTGAAGGACTGAAATCCTGCAGCGCCTGCAAGGTCCCCCTGCTCAAGAAAGCACATATACAGGCCTGTCTGAAGTTTGCCAATGAGCTACCATTAGCCTCCCGAGTGGCGCAGTGGTCTAAGGCACTGCATCGCAGTGCTAGCTGTGCCACTAGAGATCCTGGTTCAATCCAGGCTCTGCTGTAGCTGGCCGCGACCGGGAGACCCATGGGGCGGCGCACAATTGGCCCAGCGTCGTCCAGGGGAGGGAATGGCTGGCAGGGATGTAGCTCAGTTGGTAGAGCATGGCGTTTGCAACGCCAGGGTTGTGGGTTCGATTCCCACAGGGGGCCAGTATGAATAAAAAAATAATGTATGCACTCACTAACTGTAAGTCACTCTGGATAAGAGCGTCTGCAAAATGTAATGTGAATGATTCAGAGGAGAACTGGGTGAAAGTGTTGTGGTCAGATGAGACCAAAATCGAGCTCATTGGCATCAACTCAACTCACGTGTTGGAGGAGGAGGAATGACCCCAAGAACACCATCCCCACCGTCAAACATGGAGGTGGAAACATTATGCTTTGGGGGTGTTTTTCTGCTAAAGGGACAGGACAACTTCACCGCATCAAAGGGACGATGGACGGGGCCATGTACCGTCAAATCTTGGGTGAAAACCTCCTTCCCTCAGCCAGGGCATAGAAAATGGGTCGTGGATGGGTATTCCAGCATGACAATGACCCAAAACACACGGCCAAGGTAACAAAGGAGTGGCTCAAGAAGAAGCACATTAAGGTCCTGGAGTGGCCTAGCCAGTCTCCAGACCTTAATCCCATAGAAAATCTGTGGAGGGAGCTGAAGGTTCGAGTTGCCAAACGTCAGCCTCGAAACCTTAATGACTTGGAGAAGATCTGCAAAGAGGAGTGGGACAAAATCCCTCCTGAGATGTGTGCAAACCTGGTGGCCAACTACAAGAAACGTCTGACCTCTGTGATTGCCAACAAGGGTTTTGCCACCAAATACTAAGTCATGTTTTGCAGAGGGGTCAAATACTTATTTCCCTCATTAAAATGCAAATCAATTTATAACATTTTTGACATGCATTTTTCTGGATTTTTTTGTTGTTATTCTGTCTCTCACTGTTCAAATAAACCTACCATTAAAATTATAGACTGATCATGTCTTTGTCAGTGGGCAAACGTACAAAATCAGCAGGGGATCAAATACTTTTTTCTCTCACTGTACATTATAATATAAGACAAACTTTACAAACACTGCATGGTCTTTCACATACTTTAACTGGGAGTCAAGGATTGCTTAGTCTCTTGGTTCCTCTCCATGTACTTCTACACCGTCTCAACCACAGACGACCACAACGGGTGCCTCAAATACAGTGCACATTTACCTCCGTTTGTCCCTGAGGAGTTGGACAGGAGCATTACGTCTCGGCAAGGAGACAACACATCTGTATTGGATCTGGCTAGCTATATCTAAGCTCATTTATCTCTAGGAGAGAGACAACATGGCTACCATGGGTTAGGTTATAAGATATCAGAAGCACTGTCTGCTTCCCAAATGACACCCTATTACCTAAATAGTGCACTACTTTTGACCAGTGCCCATAGGGTGCCAGACAAACCATGTTTTTGTGAAAAAGCAGTGGGTTGGCTCCCCCGCCACACGTTAGTGGTTACCTAAGCTCTTGCATCAGGATGGGCCTTCAGGACCTGAAATGATGAAATCCTACCTACAGTAACATTGCCATCTGTTGGTAGAAAATGGTAAATACAGAAATGCAATTTGAAATGTCTTCTAATTTAACAAGATTGAACACAATTATTTTATTTTCTCAGGTAAAGTCTTGTAAAAAGGTGATATCAAAAGGAAAACAATTTAATACTAGACAAATGTGCAACCAGAAATCGTATTTTGGAAAAACTTTTAATTGAACAAAAGTATTTCAATCCTCAGTCACCACACTGTCTTGGGAGTACAGTACCTTTTAGCTGTATCTAAATTCATATAATATTCACCTTATTCTTCTTTTAAATAGACATATACAGCTGAAAACAAGATTTAAATAACAGTGCTCAGTAACATTAAGACAGTTTTTCTTTTTTAAAAGCAGGAAACAAATGTTGAACAGACTTTCATTGGCAAACAGACAATCAACAAAAGGTTTTCCTATCGCTCTTGAATCTTCATCCTCGATCAGCAACGCTTTCACTCGGACGTTCGGGGCACACATATGAGCAGTATGAGGGTGTGGCACATACGGTCGGTCGTATACATCCACGGACATTCAACGCACAGCTTACTGACAGTGTCCATTCCACAATACACCTACAGAGGGCATCCTTTCCTTATCTGGTAAATACAGTACAGTACCATTTGTGGCGTCTTTCTTTCTGGTACAACAGTCTTTATGGAAACATAATACTACTTTCTGCAAGGGACGGGTCACTCGATAACGACAGACAAAGCAACAAGACCTGCTGAAGACGAGCAAAAGAGAAGAGCAGTTTCTCTCCTGTTTGTTTCCCCCAAAATCACAGCTCTCCAGTGATAATGTGATGTCACTGGCAACACAAACATTCACTTTCATAGTGTATGTAGCTGTTGTGAAGGAACTATTGACTGTAAATCCCAATCTGTGCTCACTCCAAAAACCTAGAGGCACGACAAGGCTTTACTAGGTGGAGTTGTCAGCCAAGGCAAAGAGCGGGTGTTTACAGACGGTCCCTTAGTGAAGGGACACTTCTAGACAGGACTCACTGTCATTATTTTGAAAGGAATCTGAGCTACGGTGGCCAACATGTACCATTTGAGTCTCTCTATGTGCTAACTGTTTTCTGTTGAGTTTATGGGGACTGTTAGCTCCTGTATTGAAGGGCCATTGGCAGACCAGTGGATATTGCTGTGCTCAATCAGTCAGCGGCAAGTCCAGTAATAAGGCTTGTTGTTAGGCCGAGCATCGGGGTCCGGAGTGGTGTGTGTGTATGCAAATGTGTGTATGCGAGCATGTGTGTGTGTGTGTGTGGTCACAGCAGCGGTTTGACCAGGTAGAGTTTGTCTCCGTGTTCGCTGGTGAAGATAGGGGCTTTCTTGTAGTGTTCCACCAGCTCGTCCATGGTGCTGAAGCGTCTCTGGCCGATACAGTAGACCCCCTCCGCCAGCGCAACCTTGAAGTGCTTGTTTTTTCCCATCGACTTGAGGGACACAGAGAAATCACTGGGCTGGGAGAGAGCGAGAGAGAAATAAGGATGGATGATTATTGCCATGGAGTTTCATTCTTAAGCCACTAGAGGGGGTCATAGTTCTACTGTAAAGTACACCCTGTCCCACTGAATAATGTAAGATTTCCCTCAAGACAGCTTTCCCAATAAAAACTGCTCAAAATTCAGTATGATAAAGCTATTGCAAACCATTTTAGAGTACATTATTATTTAAATAATCAGCGACACAAATCAACTGTTCTCCCCCCATTTCCACCAATCACAATACTCTCTCGACCACTCACCGATGATTCGCTGTCTCTGACAAGGAAGTCTCCCTGAACTCCTCTCTCGTTGAGCGCACACTCCGCCTGATGCCTGGTCACTCCCCCATAGTACCAGTCCTTCCCGGCAAACTTTCCCACGCGTGCCGGCCCTGTGTAGTTGATCTGGGGCGAGTGGGGCCCCGAGCCCATACCACCCCCGGGGGCCGGATCGTCGCTAAGGATAACCACATAGTTCTTTGGCACCAGGCCCACCTGTCCACGGGCGTTCCGACACCGCCACCACTCAGGGTCGTTCTCCGGTTTCTCCAGCACCTCCATCACATCGCCCTTCTCAAAGTTCAGCTCCTCGTCTGTCACAGAGCTGAAGGGGTACAGCGTCTGAACAGTGTGGAGCGCCCTGGTGGTCCCGTTGGTCACCCCTCCCGACCCTGCCCCCTGTCCTGGGTAACCTCCTCCGCTTAGGTCCCCTGAGGAGGCCTCCTCCTCCCCCTCCTCCAGGACATAGTTAGAGGGGAACCAGCCTACCTGACCTTCAGAACTCCCTCGCCACCAGCCGTCGCTACACTTCTCCATGACAATGACCCTTGACCCCTTCACCAGTGTCAGCTCGTCTTCCCGCTCCGCCGTGTAGGCGAACTTGACCAGGGCTGGGATGCTAAGGTCGTAGATACGCTCGGCGCTGCTACCTCCACCACCATTGGACGGGTACTCTGCGTCTGTGCTGGGCGTTGGCGAGGCATCGCGGGCACTCGTCTTCCTCTTGGTCTTCCCCAGGCCTTAGAGAGGGAGAGAGAGAAATAAGTTAGTATAATAGACAATAAATATTTATACCATACATTGAAGATCGCAGCAGTAGTTACACAACAGAGCAGAATAACATAGTAAAAACTCCCTCCTCAACATATTAGGTTAAAAGGCTGGTGTAAAACATCTAGAGAAAACGGCTCCAAACAGAAAGCCCTAAATTGTCATTGAGATTAAGTAGGCAGCTACGCTACGCCAAAAACAGTCTTCAAGTGAAGTGCAGCAACAATCTGAGCTAATTAGCTCCTAGTACTGCTGGTAGAAGACGGTCCGGGGTTAGGAGGGCACCGCTTCTCTTTGAGGTTGCAGCCAGGGAGAAGGTAAACACTTCAGATAAAGTTAGGGGGGAGTGAGGGGTTCTGGGTAATTAGTGCTGGAGGGAAACTGGAGGTGAGGCCAGAGGAGAGACCAGGGGGGTTCTGGGTATTGATAGGCAATGTTAACTCCTCTCAGGCAGCTACTGACCAGACCACCGTGCCGGGAGGCTGTTTAGGAGACAGGAAATGCAGATCGGATGACACCGAAGTGGTCGGGAGGGTGGATATGGTCTGCATTCCAAATGGCACCCTATTCCCTACATAGTGCACTACTTCTGACCACCCTATGGGACTTTGTCAAAACATAGGGCTCTTGTCAAAAGTAGTGAAATATGTAGGGAATGGGGTGCCATTTGGAACACAGCCTGTGGAGTGCTTGGTTGGCTCTCTCGCTTGAAAATCTTGACCTTTAACCCCTTTCAATAACAACCCCCCAAACCGGTCCCCCACTGTATACTACTCCCGTAAAATTAAGCTACTCCTTTCACTTTAGAGACTCTCAATCGCTCTAACTCGCTCTCTTAACATTGACACATAAAGTACCAGTCAGAAGTTTGGACATTCAAGTGTTTTTCTTTACTTTTACTATTTTCTATATTGTAGAATAATAGTGAAGACATCAAAACTATGAAATAACACATATGGAATGATGTAGTAACCAAAAAAGTGTTAACCAAATCAAAATATATTATATATTTGAGATTCTTCAAAGTAACCACCCTTTGCCTTGATGACAGCTTTGCACACTCTTGGCATTCTCTCAAACAGCTTCACCTGGAATGCTTTTCCAACCGTCTTGAAGGAGTTTCCACATATGCTGAGCACTTGTTGGTTGCTTTTCCTTCACTCTGCGGTCCAAATGATCCCAAACCATTTCAATTGGGTTGAGGTCGGGGGATTGTGGAGGCCAGGTCATCTGATGCAGCACTCCATCCCTCTCCTTCTTGGTCAAATAGCCCTTACACAGCCTGGAGGTGTTTTGGGTCATTGTCCTGTTGAAAAAAAAAATGATAGTCCCACTAAGCGCAAACCAGATGGGATGGCGTATCGCTGCAGAATGCTGTGGTAGCCATGCTGGTTAAGTGTGCCTTGAATTCTAAATAAATTACTGACAGTGTCACCAGCAAAGCACCCCCACACCATAATACCTCTTCCTCCATGCTTCACGGTGGGAACCACACATGCAGAGATCATCCATCTGCGTCTCACAAAGACACGGCGGTTGGAACCAAAAATCTCAAATTTGGACTCATCAGACCAAAGGACAGATTGTAACCAGTCTAATGTCCATTGCTTGTGTTTCTTGGCCCAAGCAAGTCTCTTCTTCTTATTGGTGTCCTTTAGTAGTGGTTTCTTTGCAGCAATTCGACCATGAAGGCCTGATTCACGCAGTCTCCTCTGAACAGTTGATGTTGAGATGTGTGTTACTTGAACCCTGTGAAGCATTTATTTGGGCTGCAATTTCTGAGGCTGGTAACTCTAACGAACTTATCCTCTGCAGCAGAAGTAACTTTGGGTCTTCCTTTCCTGCGGCGGTCCTCATGAGAGCCAGTTTCATCATAGCGCTTGATGGATTTTGCGACTGCACTTGAAGAAACTTTCAAAGTTCTTGACATTTTCCAGATTGACTGACCTTCATGTCTTAAAGTAATGATTGACTGTAATTTCTCTTTGCTTATTTGACCTGTTCTTGCCATAATATGGACTTGGTCTTTTACCAAATAGGGCTATCTTCTGTATACCCCCCCCTACCTTGTCACAACACAACTGATTTTCTCAAATGCATTAAGAAGGAAAGAAATTCCACAAATTCACTTTTAAGAAGGCACACCTGTTAATTGAAATGCATTCCAGGTGACTACCTCATGAAGCTGGTTGAAAGAATGCCAAGAGTGTGTGAAGCTGTCATGAAGGCAAGGGGTGGTTACTTTGAAGAATCTCAAATATAAAATATATTTTGATTTGTTTAACACTTTTTTGGTTACTACATGATTCCATATGTGTTATTTCATAGTTTTGATGTCTTCACTATTATTCTACAATGTAGAAAATAGTAAAAATAAAGAAAAACCCTGGAATGAGTAGGTGTGTCCAAACTTTTGACTTGTACTGTATATTTAAGACAATATACAGAAGCACTAATGCAAGCAGAAGGATGAGGATCATTGCCATTTAAAGCCTAGTGTCAGAGAGAATAAAGCTCAACCCTCTCACCCACTCCCTCACAGCCAGGCAGGGGAGCACTCCGAAAGGTCACAAACAATCCCTTTCCTCCATCTCCACCTTCTCTTCCTCCTCCACATCTCATGCATGAAACAAGGCGGCTTTCTGACCTCCCGTGTTCTTGACGCTTAACTGGCCTTCTGCTCTGACGGAGCACGCAGCCAACCAGGGAGGGTCTTTGCGTGAGTGTACAGCAACAACACTCCGGTATTAGCAGACTTACAAGAGCACGCAAACCTGAGATGAGATGGGCTGCACACAGGTTTGTAATAAGCATGCAGCAGGCACACACACAGAGACACACACTTTTATTCAAATGTGGAACTCATCTCACAATGACAGATACACCTGCTCATGGGAAGCATCACATAGCTTACACAATGCCCAGTCACACACAGCACAGATAACATGATGACACAAAGCCGTTGGGACCAAAAAACATGATTAAATCATAGATCTTCTCTCTGCCTCCTATAATAGTATTCCCCTCATGAAAAGAGCATATCGTAGACTGAACCAGTATAATAATAATAATAATAATAATAATAATAATAATAATAATAAGCCATTTAGTAGACGCTTTTATCCAAAGCGACTTACAGTCATGCGTGCATACATTTTTGTGTATGGGTGGTCCCGGGGATCGAACCCACTACCTTGGCGTTACAAGCGCCGTGCTCTACCAGCTGAGCTACAGAGGACCACAATCTGGGCAATGGAGACGATGAATACGACGAGATCTCCTTTCTGCCCAGAAAGCTACCATTCAAGCTACCATTCACCAGCTCTTCAAGCGTTATAATGTCAAAACACATTAGTCACTCACTAAATATGACTTGCCTGCAACTATTGTCATTTACTGCCGTGACGCCCTGTATGTACTTCCAATAAAGGACTAGGGTAAACGTCCCTATTAAGCCAATGTACCATATAAGCCCACTTGCAACTTCTGCGTCAAATAAAAAAAAACTACAGCATTTCTTGCTGTGTGATGTTTCTCCCAATGAAGCTGCTTGTTACATAACTGACACTTATTGTAAGCCAATCAGATTTGTCAATATTGAGTTATCAAAGCATATGTGTGACGTGCCTGCTGATCCCAGAAGAAGTTGCAAAAAAACTTGTGATTTTGGTACCCTCAGAAGATAACATTTTTTGCATATTTCTACTCCTGTTTTTGGTAAGTACTCATTTGTTATCAACATTTAAGTGATTAGTGTTTTGAATAAGACATATATTAGAATATTACTTGAATTATAAATATTGTTTATTTTTAAATCAAAATATGAGTTTTAGCATGCTAGCAAACAGACCACATGCTGCATCAATACAGTAGCTACATAGTATGGTTCTTTGCTATGACAAAGCATGATAAGCAGGTATAGTTTACATTGTTGTATGCAGTTTCTATTCTTGTACTGTTAAATAGACAAATGTGTATGCTTATCTTTATTAATTTTTTATTAACATCTTTACCTGGTGGGCTTAAAGGGGACGCTAGCAGAAATATCACACTGTCTGGGGTGGATATAAATGAGTATGGCTAATTATTTCTCTGCATGATACATTTATACTTTTCATGTTATGTTAGTGCACCATATATAGATTTATTTCATATAATTGTTTTTTTCAATGTCATGTGCGTAGAATAAAATATTATTTATTTTAACCATAAATTCACTGATGTTCACTTTAAGCCCACCTGCTCCTATTAAGCCCACTTGACTGTGTTTCAATTGGGATTTTCTTCCTTTTGACCTTTGAACCATTTTCCTCCCTAATTTGAACCTCACCTGATAAATCAGCTCCATAATTCAGATAATTAATACCCATATATATTCATATTGCATAGGTCAATTCATTCTGGATAGGCCTATATTCTATCCTAACATTAACAATACTTTTTTTGGCCTACTTTTCAGATGGGTTTTAGTTTGAGATGACTAAAACCCGAAAAAACTACAGTTCATGCCCACGCATGATAGAAACATGCCGTCTGTACAGGGAGGGAACAATGCAAAATCTCTCATTTCTGGCAAAACGTTATGGAGTACACAGGAAGTCGTTGAGGCAGAGAGTGAAGGAGCAGCTGAGCATTGATGCACAACAGGGACATGTGATCTACCTGAGTCCAGCAGTAGTAGCAGGAGATTTCAGAGTGTCTTCAGGTAGGGTTATACTATAGTGACTGATAGGCTAAGAAAAGGATAACATGAAACAGTGGGTAGCCTAATATGAGGTCATGAAAAATGTGATTTTGCCTAATCCAGTGGTTCTCAATGTGTGACCTGTGGGTATGTGGGTATGTGTGTGTGCCTGTGTACGTGTTTGTGTGCGCGTGTAAGTGTGTGTGTGCATGCAACCATGTGTGTGTGTGCTCTCACCGTGCGTCAGGGCTCATGCTTGTATTCATCTCAGGCCTTTGCCAGTGGGGTTGGGCTTACCCGACGGGACCTTCTCCATCCTTCAGGTCCTTTGCAGTGGGTTGGCTTACCCGGACGATCTTATCCATTCTTCAGTCTTTCCAGTGGGGTGTGGGGTTACCCAATGGATCTTCTCCATCTCTTCAGGTCCTTTGCCAGTGGGGTTGGGGCTTTACCGGACGGATCTTCTCCATCTCTTCAGGTCCTTTGCCAGTGGGGTTGGGGCTTTACCCGGACGGATCTCTCCATCTCTTCAGGTCCTTTGCCAGTGGGGTTGGGGCTTTACCCGGACGGATCTTCTCCATCTCTTCAGGTCCTTTGCCAGTGGGGTTGGGGCTTTACCCGGACGGATCTTCTCCATCTCTTTCAAGAGTTTGTGATAGCAAAGGAACTTCAAACCCCCTTCAAGGCCCAAAGACCCGGACGAAAATGGTTTGAACGATTCATGCGGGACCATGCGGAACTGACCATAAGGAAGTCGGAACCCCAACCATCAACGTCTGCATCCTCTGCAACTTCAAGCCCTTCACCCTCATCAGGCATTGGCATCAAAGATTTCTTCCTGCAACGCATCATGCCAACCAAGAAGAGCAATCCAGCCAAAAGACAGAGAATCAACTCTAAAATATGGAGAGTCTCTAACATCTGAACAAGCCTTGTTGCGGCTAGGGGAAATTGAGAAAAAAGAAGGCAGCAAAAAAGAAACAACCAAAGGATGGCAAGACTAAGAGCAAGAAGACTCCTCTGGAGAAGGCAAATGCATCGGAGGCAGTGGGCAAAGAGGCCAATGTGAACACAGAAACCTGTACCACAACCTTCACAGTGGAGAGAGACGAGTACTATGCTGTCATGTTCACGAAACCAGCGGCATACTACATCGCACGATCACTTAACGAGTCAGCACCACCAGAGGGTGAACGGTATGTGATGAAGTTCCTAGACAGAGTGCCAAACAACATATTCTTCCTCCCATCCAGGGGCAAGATTGAGGGTGTAGAGCTCAAGTTCATCCTCTGCAAAGCAGAGCTGGAGGGACCTGGACCATTCTATTTGCGCAATCATGAAGTCATTGAAAATCTGTACAAAAACAAGATGAAAGCCATCAAAGACTTGTTAGCGTAAGACTGGCAAGCAAAGACAACCACAACCAAAAGAAAGCTTAGACCACCCTATAACCTGTTATGTTACACTACTAAGATAACTAAAATGATAAAATCACATCAGAGCATAGGCCTACATTTAGCCAAGGAGAAAGTAGAAATTGCAGAAATGTTTCTTGTTTATTTTGCTTAAATTATAGGCTAATGATACATGAGCTTCACGATGTTATGACTGATGTCTCCTCACAATGAACTGTATGTTTTAATATTACTCAACAATGAACTGAATGGTTTTAAAATGTGTTTTTACAATGTTTTCAAACTACTAGCATAAATGTGATTAACATTTGAAAATCAATTAAAGTTATTGGTTAAATGTAAATCCTGAAATTGACTCATTTACTGTCCTTAGAACATTAGTATTGAACCTGCAAACTGTTTTTCTTTTAGTCAGTCGGTCTTCAGAAATCGTCATAAAAACATCTGCAATTTTGGCCAATTTCAAATGCCAACAGCACACCATAGGTTAGAGATACAGACAAAATGACAACACATATTGAAAGATTAAGTATTGAAGAGTAATTTCCACTATAGTTTTGATTTTGTTCATAAATAGTTTTTTGGGTACATTCCAAAGAAGACATGTAAGTTTAGCTTTTTCACACAGCAAAAAGGCTGGTCATGCCTATTTCAAATGCCATTTACAGGCCATAGGAGTGGAGACAAAATGAAAATAGCTTTTGAGAGCTAAGAGAATACAGATTTGAATAGAACAAGTTTGTATTGTTACGATTTTTTTAAAATATATATATTTATTTATCAACAAATCTGAAGTGGGCTTAATTGGAACACCCATGGGCTTCAAGGGTACATTAGGTACCCATTAAGCCCATGCCAGATTTTCAACATATTTTGACAAATTAAACAATAAAAACATTAGAAATTGGTATAAATGAATTATTGACACTTCAAATGAGAGACTTCTCACTTAAATTGGGGCAGCATATATAAAAAATGTCTGAAAAGCGGATTTGGTGGGCTTAATAGGGACGTTTACCCTAAATAAACATTTACAAGCAACCGAAAACATTTCAATGTATTGTTTTGGACCGGAAGAGGCTCCTTTGCCTAGATACTGGTTCAATCATAGACTAGCCTACATCCTACATACTGAAACACACACACCAGACACACATATATGGAGACCGACAGCATGACGGACCGACTGAGTCAAATATGACCCACAACAAACAAGCCTAGAGTATAAATACAAAAGGACAAACTCCTCTTAACCAAGAACAGAATAAAACACCCTCAGAGTTAAAATGACGAGAAGACAGCCCTTGTCTCCATGAATCAGCCTCCATCACGGAGCGATTTGGGGAAACATTGACCTTGAGAGGTGGGGGGGACGGGGGGAAGAGGGGGGTGCGGGGAAACGGAGGATGGTGAAATACCATCACTTAGCCCCTTTCACAACTATCCCCCCATCAACAAGTCATTCCATCCCTCACACCACAAACTGTGAGGAGAGAGCCACAGTCACTATTTATAGCTTTCAC